TTGTATTGCTTTTGTTATTAATTGGCTTATAAAATTGGCTGCTCCCATGTTAGGGGCATAGATATTTACAATTGTTAGATCTTCTTGTTGGGTAGACACTTTAGGATATAGTGTCCCTCCTCATCTCTTACTATAGTCTTTGGTTTAAAATCTAATATGTCTGATAAAAGGATTGCCACCCCAGCTTTCTTTTGGTGTCCATTATCATGGTAAATGGTTTTCCACCCCCTCACTTTCAATGTGGGGGTGTCTTTGGGTCTAAATGAGTCTCTTGCAGACAGCATATCAATGGGTCTTGTTTTTTTTTATCCAATGATATCCTCTGTCTTTTGATTGGGGCATTTAGCCTATTTACATTCAGGGTAACTATTGAAAGATAAGAATTTAGTGCCATTGTATTGCCTGTATGGTGACTGTTACTGTATATTGTCTGTATTCCTTTTTGGTCTGTGTTACTTTTAGGCTCTTTCTTTGCTTAGAGGACCCCTTTCAATATTTCTTGTAGGGCTGGTTTTGTGTTTGCAAATTCCTTTAGTTTTTGTTTGTCCTGGAAGCTTTTTATCTCTCCTTCTATTTTCAATGACAGCCTAGCTGGATATAGTATTCTTGGCTGCATATTTTTCTCATTTAGCACTCTGAATATATCATGCAAGTCCTTTCTGGCTGGCCAGGTCTCTGTGAATAGGTCTGTTGCCAATCTAATGTTTCTACCATTGTAGGTTACAGATCTCTTCTCCCAAGCTGCTTTCAGGATTTTCTCTTTGTCTCTGAGATTCGTAAGTTTTACCATTAGATGTTGGGGTGTTGACCTATTTTTATTGATTTTGAGGGTGGTTCTCTGTGCCTCCTGGATTTTGATGCCTGTTTCTTCCCCAAATTAGGGAATTTCTCTGCTATAATTTGCTCCATTATACCTTCTGCCCCTCTCTCTCTTTCTTCTTCTTCTTCTGGGATCCCAATCATTCTAATATTGTTTCATCTTATGGTATCACTTATCTCTCAAATTCTTCCCTCGTGATCTAGTAGTTGTTTATCTCTCTTCTTTTCAGCCTATTTTCCATCATTTGGTCTTCTATATCACTAATTCTCTCTTCTGCCTCATTTATCCTAGCAGTTAGAGCCTCCATTTTTGATTGCACCTCATTAATAGCCTTTTTGATTTCGACTTGGTTATATTTTGGTTCTTTTATTTCTCCAGTAAGGGTTTCTCTAATATCTTCCATGCTTTTTTCAAGCCCAGCTAGAATCTTTAAAATCGTCATTCTGAACTCTAGTTCTGACATCTTACTAATGTCTGTATTGATTAGGTCCCTGGCAGTCAGTACTGCCTCTTGTTCTTTTTTTTTTGAGGTGATTTTTTCCATCTTGTCATTTTGTCCAGAGGAGAATAGATGAATGAGAGAACAAAATGCTAACAGGGTAACAATGACCCCAGAAAAATATACACTAAACAAATCAGAAGAGACCCAAAACCGGGGGAAAAGGGAAAGAAAGAAAAAGAAAAAGATAAAAATAAACAAAAACAGAATATGGTCAAATATGATCAGGCTGGTGCATAGATCAGTGCCACACACTAGATTTTGGGCATATTTTTGTCTGTTAGATGAAAGTGCCTCCCACAATTTTAAAGAAAGAAAAACTTATACATGTACAAAAATAAGGGCAAATATGATGAAGAGATGGAATATGAGTGTAAAGATGAAAATTATAAAAGATTTTATAAAACGAATTGATAAGAAGTTGGTTGAAAGAAGAAGAGAATTTAAAAAAAAAAAGAGAATGTGATCAGGCAGGAGACTAGAACAAAGCTATACACTCGAGATTTAGGGTATATTTTGCTCTGTTAGAAGAAACTGTAACCCAAAATTTTAAAGGGAGAATAACTTATATACCAACAATAAGGTTAACTACTATGAAGGGATAGAATATGAGTCTAAAAATGAAAAATAAAAGATATTTTTTAAAAAAGGGATTGATGTTGGTTGAAAAAGGGAAAAAGAAAAATTCAAAAGAAAAAAATTAACTTTGAAAGTCTGAAGAATCGGGGGAAAAAGCCATGAATTCTATGTGCACTATTCCTCTAGCGCTAGAGTTCTGCCATTCTCATTGATCAGTAAACTTGGTCTTGGCTGGCTGTTCATGCTGATCGTCTGGGGGAGGGGCCTGTTCCCGTGGTTCCCAAATGTCTTTGCTGGAGGTGGAATTGCCCCGCCCTTGCCAGTCCGGGTTAAGCTATCTGCTCAGGTTTGCTTTTGGGAGCTTTTGTTCCCTGCAAGCTTTCTGTACATCTTTGGAGGACAAGAGTGAAAATGGCGGCCTCCCGATCTCCACCCTGGAGGAGCCGAGAACTCAGGGCCCCATTCCTCAGGGAGCCCCCAGAGAAAAGCAGTCAATCACTCCCGTGTCCTCCCGGTCTCCAGCCGCACTCCGTGCTCACCCGGCCTGTGACCGAGCGTTTCTATCTCTGGCACCCAACTTGGTGTGGAGTCTCCAAACCCAGCAGATCCCTGCGGTGCGCTCCCGCACCACTCCTCCCGGGGGAGGAAGGGGAGTCTCCCTGTCTCTGCTGCTTGTTGGGTCCCTACTGGAGGAGCAGTGGCCCGACTGTGCCGCAGATCACGGTTTATGGCAACCCTGAGTTGAGAGCCCGCGCCTCAGCTCCGTCTCTGCAGCCGGCTTCCCCGCTCCGATACCTGGGAGCTCTGCCTCACTCAGGCACCCCCGGTCTTTCTGTGACCCCGAGGGTCCTGAGACCACACTGTCCTGCGAGGGTTCCACCCCCCTCTTAGCCCCTGGAGAGACGTCCCTCAGCAGAGCCGACTTCTAAAAGTTCCAATTTTGTGCTCCGCTGCTCTATCACTTGCCAGAAGCGGCTGACAGAGGGCCCCTTCCCTGCCGTCTATCCTCCCGAATATCGCCTCGGATTCACTTCTCCGCACGTCCTACCTTCCAGAAAGTGGTCGCTTTTCTGTTCAGAGAGTTGCTGCTATTCTTTTCTTTGATCTCCTGTTGAGTTTGTAGGTGTTCAGAATGGTTTGATCCCTATCTAGCTGAATTCCTGGGAGCACAGGAAATTTAGGTCTCCTACTCCTCTGCTATCCTATTTATTTTTTTGAGAGAGACAGGGAGCATGAACAGGGGGAGAGGCAGAGGGAGAGGGAGAATAAGACTCCTTGCCGAGCCAGGAGCCTGACGTGGGGTCAGCATGGGGCCTGGACGTGGAGCTCGATCCCAGAACCTGGAGATCATGACCTGAGCTGAAGGCACACGCTTAACCATCTGAGCCACCCAGGTGTCCCTTCCTTATCCTTTATTATCCAAAATATCTGCATTCAGTTGCAACCTGAGAAACAGGCAATAAAGTCACAAATGTCTTTCCTTTCAGAATTTTGTTGTGGTTTTGTTTTGTTTACCACTTTGTACTAGTGTTAGCTTTATTGTCCCAGAAGAAACAGTAAACATCATGTTAATTAAATTTCGGTAATAACTTATTCATAGTGTAGATATTTTTTACATTCTCAGTGTTATTTTAGTTTGAAAGGGAAGGCACAAGGCTCAGCTGTAGAGAATGCCATGGCAACCTGAGCTGAGGTGGTCCTGAATGCTCTAGACTGCTTCAGGCTTCCTAGTGGTATTTTACAGTTCCGTGCAAGGTGAGGTATGAAAGAAGAAGGTGAGGACCTTCTCACCTAAATAACCTTGGTCTAAATAAATGCTCCAACAAGGTTTTTGACCTGGAGTTAAAATGCTCCAGCTCCATTGGCTGACTGTAATGGGGCTGCTCCTCTGTACTTATTCAAGTTAAATTTCATGGAAGCCCCTAAATTGTAGGAGTTCAACTATATTCTCTAAAAGAGAACCCAAACAGTGTGAATCTAAATCCAAGTACCCCTTTCTGGTCATATCTGACTCCTTGGAGCTTCTCCTCGGTCGTGTGCCTCACTGTGCCATTCCCACCCACAGGAGCCTAAGCATTAGCTCTGTGAGACTATTGGCTAGAGGTGAAAATCTCATGTTTTCAATTTTGAAAGGAAACTAGTACTGCTTGAGTATTTCTAGCTTCTGGTATTAGATGTAAAAATAAAACCCTTTTTTTTTTAACGTTTTCCCTAAAAATCTTAGAATAATATGAAATGGGGAAATTTTCTAGTACTTCGTTTTGGCAACCTCAGGGATGTGCTTCCCGAGGGTCTCATGGGGAGAAACTGATGGCTCTCAGAGTGGGGATCAGCTTCATATTTACCATTTATCTTTCTAAGGAATATTAATCTCTTAGAAATGATAAAGCAGATATGTAGAATCTAACATATTAAGTGAAGTCCATTTAGGTGAACTTGGAATGTCAGCATGTATTGATTTATAATGAACATCTAAGCTGTTCTGGATGTACCTAGTGTGGAGTATTTGATAAGGACAAAAGAAGTTCCAATTTAATATAATTTCTTACTAGTTAAGATTTAGTCAAACAATAAGATGTGACATTAAGCATATCACTAACTATATATATTTTAATTGTATACACAGCTATAGCTACGGGTTTGTTTATCGATCATATATTTTTTTTTCTTAAACAAATAGCTTTTAGTGTGCCCTTTCTATCCTTGTAGGGGAGATTAAATAAATTGCAGTTAGAAAATGCCCCAGGGTACTCTGTTTTTAATTTTTACTCCCTCTGTGGGCACCTTGAGTTTTCATTCTGAAATAAACCCAGTCTGTGTCATTACATAAAAAGTCCAAATCCCTAGCACGTGGTACAAGACCCTTCACCATCCGTGGCCACAATAACCTATTTAATCCATATGAGTCTCCCATTCAAAATGGTATTTCAGCCACCATCCTCATTTGTTAATTACAGATCCTATATATGTTAGTCTAAGAGTTTTCAATATTACAAAAGTTGTTTTTCACACAAGGGGTAAATCATTCCTGACATTACCAGTTGGAGTTACTAAATCTTGAAAAGGCTTGATATCATTGGTAAAATATTAGGTAGTATCTAACTCTGGATGTCACTAGCCCCCTGCAAGAGACATTGTCAATAAAATTTCAGCACTTTTTGTAATGATTTTGACTTTGATCACAAAAGCCAAATTTTATATTTCTGTGTTCAGATTGCTCTTTCACACAGGAAGAAAAGACAAAAATTATTATTATTATTTTAAATAGAATGGTGGTTGCCAGGGGCTGGGGAAGGGGGAGTTAGTGTTTATTTTTTAAAAGATTTTATTTGTATGACAGAGAGAGACACAGCGAGAGAGAGAACACAAGCAGGGGGAGTGGGAGAGGGAGAAGCAGGCCTCCCACTGAGCAGGAAGCCCAATGTGGGGCTCGATCCCAGGACCCCGGGATCATGACCTGAGCTGAAGGCAGACGCTCAATGACTGAGCCACCCAGGCGCTCCAAGACAAAAATTATTTTTATTCCCTTAGGCATTAATCTTTTATTTAAAATTAATATTTATTGGAGAACTTGGAAAGTAAACAAAAAAAGAAAGGAAGAAAAGAAACTATCCAGATTTCGGGAGATGATTACTATTATTACTTTGATGTACACCTTTTTTTTTTTTTAGGATTTTATTTATTTATTTGACACAGAGAGCACACGCAGGGGGAGCTGCAGGCAGAGGGAGAGGGACAAGCAGGATCCACTGAGCAGAGAGCCGAACATGGGGCTCCATCCCAGGACCCCGGGATCATGACCTGAGCCAAAGGCAGCTGCTGAACCAGCTGAGCCACCCAGGTGCCCCACATGTTTTTTTTGTTTTTGTTTTTTTTTTAAGATTTTATTTATTTGAGAGTGAGCACACAAGCAGGGGGAGCAGCCGGCTATGGGAGGAGCAGGCTCCCTGCTGAGCAAGGAGCCTGATGTGGGGCTTGATTCCAGGACCTTGGGATCATGACCTGAGCGGAATGAAGACTCTTAACTGACTGAGCCACCCAGGTGCCCCACATCTTTCAAATATTTTTCTGTCCATATACATTTTCTTATAAAACTAAGGTCATACTATACATTTTGTTGTGTAACTTGCTTTTAAAAACTTAACACTATATTACGAATATCTCTATAAGTAAAAATTCATCTATATTCCTTTATATGAAATATAGTAATTTATTTAACCAATTCCTAGTTATTAGATATTTAAATTGCTTGAAATATTTTCTTGTGGTATAAGTGAACATCCTTGAGGTAAAATCTTTACCTAGTTCTCAGTTATTACCTTATAAATTTTTAGGAGTGGAATCATGGAGTCACATTTTATTTAATTAGACAATGGGTGCAGGATGTACAAAATTTCAAAAGGAAAAATAGGATATTCAGTGAAGAGTAAGGCTCTGTTCTTCCTCCTGGGAAGTAGCTACTTATGGTGGTTTCCATTTATTTTTCAGGAAACATTTCATGCATTTATAAGCTTGTATAAATCCTTTAGTATGCCTGTTAGGAGACTAGTAAAATGGCTTCAGTAGAATTTGTTTTGTAATTTCATATGCTAAATAATCACAGGCAAAACTTTCTACAATAAGGCAACACTGAAGTATCTCAGTTCTGTACTTAACTTAGATTTTTTTTTTTTAAGATTTTATTTATTTATTTGACAGAGAGAGAGAGCGAGAGAGGGAACACAAGCAGGGGGAGTGGGAGAGGGAGAAGCAGGCTTCCCACTGAGCAGGGAGCCTGATGTGGGGCTCGATGGCAGATGGTTAACGACTGAGCCACCCAGGTGCCCCATTTAATTTAAATTTTATTTTTATGTAATATATCATTTACCAACTACTGTGATATTTTTCATTAAAAACACTTAAAGTATTTATATAGATAAATTTGAAACACTCAATAGCAAGAAGAATAATATAATGAAGCCCCAAGTACCCAACTGGTATGCACATTTTATGGCTTTTAATAAACAATGCCTAGTTTTCTCTGTAAACTGTTTTTACTGATTTATACTCCTACCTGCTATACAAGATTTACACTAGCTTCAATTTTGTATTGTTGAATTTTAGAGCTGCTGTGTTCAATGTTGTATGCCTATCTTTTTTTATCTTTATATAATCTTTTTTAACAAGAGTAACTTGGTAGTAGGAAGGGAAGATGATAGGAAAGATAAGGCCTGACTGTTGCAGTAGGCCAATAGATTTAATCTAGCACAGTGCTGCCAGTCTCCTTGGTGTAGCTTCCTGGTTCCGTGTGTTTGGAAGAATTATGGGAACACATCCAGGTTCTGTGGGGGAAAAGTGCTAGAACTAAATAGTAACGTCTACCAAAGGAAAGGGAGGAGGTGGGGAGGACTGTTGGTACCCACGCCATGTAGTTTGCTGACTCTGCTTTAGCTAATGCACGTAACAACTTGCTTTTGTACCATTCTTTTGTTTAGGAGCCATAAAAACCAATTTGGTTTAATAAAAAGGTGAGGAGACGTTTCTATTGACCTCTAGATGCCCAAAGCCTACTTTTACATTGACAACCTTTCTTGAAAATAAGTCGCTCTTTTGAAATGGACTCAGTAGTGCTGGTACACGTGTAAAGAGGATGCTGCACCATCATTAGGGGGGCATGTGCGGAGGGGGTGTCTGTTCTTAGAAGCAAGAAAGGCTGGCATTGGCCTGGTCACACGGCTCTACCTGACTCCAGGCAGGACCAGGAATCTGTTCAAGTCGCCAGTGTGGTTTGTGGTCATGGAACAGAGAAGCTAATTGACCCACAAGAAATCAAACCCCAAATCTTATTTTTAATCTTATTTGATTTAAGCTTACAGAGCTCACCAGCCTCAACAAAAGTATATTTAAAAAATATCAAGTATATCAAGTTTTTGAGAACTACCGTTTCACGAACCAATAGAATGGTAAATTTAGAACGCACCTTCGAGACCATAGAGAAAGCCTAGGCAAACTACACCCCATAGGCCAAATCCAGCCCACTGCCTGTTTTTGTAAATCAAGTTGTATTGGAATGCAGCCAGGCCCATCTGTTTATGTATTGTCTATGGCTGCTTTTGCATTACAAGAGCAGAGTTGAGTAGTTGTGACAGACTATATGGACCACAAAGCTTGAAACATTTACTATCTGGCCCTTTATAGAAAATGTTTGCCAACGTCTGATTCAAACCAGGCTTTTCATTTTGGAGAGGTAGAGATTGGGAATCACCTCAGTTGTGTAACTTGAGAAAACAGCTGGCTGAATTCCCCAGATCCCCAATGTTAGGATGCAGAGCCACAGTCCCTTAAAGTTTCTGTGAGAGAGAGCATTTTCACATCTTCTGGAAGTGCTACTCTTCCTCTTCAGGCAGGATGTCACTCCCTCCTCCACTATCTTATGTGCTTACTGCAATAAGGGCAGATTGAAAACTGTCCTATGCTCCTACAACGCTTCACACATTCCTTGGTTATCCCATTTATCAAGCTGAATTCTAATCATTTGCTTTTCCCACTAGATGGTGAGTTTGTTGGGTATAGAAACCATGCCATATTTGTCTTTGTAACCTAGATACCCAACACAGGTGACAGAGTAAATCTCTAACAACTATTTGGTCATTGGTTTGCATTTGACACATCATCTTTAGTGGCTATTTTAAGATAAATTTCAGCTATTGTAAAGATGAAACGCAAACGTTATGGTTGATAATTTTCCATTCCTGAGCAAGCGCCTCCTCACCCTTAATCTCCCAGCAATAGTTGTTCAGAGCCAAACCCTGTAATAGAAAGGTAACCAATCTCATCATATTTTCAATGCACCTGCTAAGTAATGGCCCCAAGCCTCAGAGCCAATCTTGACCTGTATTCCTGGCAAGTAGAGAAGAGCCTGATACAGGTCAAGGGCAATAAAAATGGACTGGAGAGATGAAAGACAGCTAGAATGAACAGGACATGGCTGGCTGACTCTGCAGGGATGTTGAGAGTCTGTGACTCTCCAGGTTCTGTCAACTTTCAGAATGTGGGAGGAAGAGCACTTTGGTAAGGGAGGAGTGGGTGGAAGTAGGTATGGTACAATCAAGTGGAGACACTCGGTAGGCAGAGGAGTATATGAATCTGGAGCTTTTGTATTAAATCTGGGTTTAGATGAAATCATTCAAAGAGTAGATAGAAATTGAGAGTAGAGGATTAGGAGCAGAAGTCTAAAGATCAGAAGTAAGTAAGGATTTAACAAAGTAAGAGGAACTCTCCCTGAGAAGGATCACCTGGAGATGTGGGAGGAAGACAAAAGTGGGGTGTCCCAGAAGCCTAGGGCTGAGAGGAGGAGAAATGTCAAGTAAGAAAACAGCAAAAACGTATGATGCTTTGGACTGAGTGATACGGAGGTCTCTGATAACTTGGCTGAGAGCAGCTTTAGTGGAGGAGTAGACTTAAAAGCCAGTTTCTACGGATTGAAGAGTTAATGAGGAGTAGGGAAGAGGCGTTGAACAGATTTTACTCTTAAGACACAAAAGAAAAAATCGAGAGAAAAACAGAGAAATGAGATGGTAACTGGAAAGTGGGTTTATGTTCCATTAAACGGTTAGCATTATTGATTTAATAATTGTTGGAAAGGAATCTACCAGGTGTCAGGACCATGGGAGTGTTTAAAAGTCAAGTGGAAAAGGAGACATCACCAAGAGGGAGAGGAATTTATCTCTATGAGCCTAGGTCTCTTCATATGTAAATGGAAATAATATCTTCCTGAGAAAGATGTTGGATGTTGAAATGAAATAACATAATCAAAAACATTTTGAAAATAGCAAAGCACTAAAGTTCATTACGCTCTGTGTTACTGACTCCAGTTTATTACCTTGACTCAATGCCTGATTAGTCTCTGTCATGGAGACTTAGTATTAGAATCTAGTTATGATTAACCTTGTCATTGCAGCTCAGAAATCAGGGCTCAAGTCCCTTCTCCTGACAATTGGATGTATGCTGGTGCTTTGGATGCCAGATAACTTTTGTGTGTGTAGAAGAACACTTAACATGAGAGCTCCCCTCTTAAATTTATTAAGTGTATGATGCAGTATTGTTGATGATAGGTACAGGGTTGTACAGCAGATCTCTAGAATGCATTCATCTTGCTTAACTGAAATTTTATGGCAACTGATTAGCAGCTCCCCATTTCCTCCTCTCTTCAGATACTGACAATTATCATTCTACTTTTTGATTCTATGAATTTAGCTCTATTTTAGATACCTCATATACGTGGAATGGTGCAGTAATAGTCTGTGACTGGTGTATTTCACTTAGTATAATGTACTCAGGTTTATCCTTTTTTTTTTTTAAGGCTGATTCATATTCCGTTGTAAGTATATACCACATTTTCTTGACCCATTCATCCATTTATCTGTCAACAGACATTTGGTTGTTTCTATATCTTGACTGCTGTGAATTGTACTGCAGTGAAGGTGGGATTGCTAATAACTCTTTGGGATCTCTATTTCAATTCTTTAGGAGAAATACCCAGGAATGGGATTGCTAAATCATATCCAGGTAGCTTATTTAATTCAGTTCATCAAAGCAAGCACCATGTACAAAATAAATCAGGGGTGCTACTATAGTACACATGTACAGGGCACTGTCCATGGATGTTCTGTGGATACAAATGTCTCAATCAGTAGGCTGAGAGGTACACATGATTAGCCTAATAATGCCCAGGAGTGGTAAGGATGGGCTGAGTTTGGGGACCAGACCAAACTTCAGTTGGTTAAGAGTCTCCATTTTCTTGGAACTAGATGGTGAAGAGATCATATGACAGAAGTCACCCGAGCTAGAGTTTGGTGAAACCTGAGTGCTCAATTTTTTGTGATGTAGAAGTTGGTTGTAGGCTCTGGTATCATGAAGTAAAATGAAGAAGACAAAATCGGAACCGTATTCTCTTGAAGGACAGTGGCTTAACTCCCAGTGGGAGCACCAGGAAGGAGACTTTGACTGTGGGATCATTTCCTAAGGAGTTAAATACAGATCAAAGTGACAGAGAAACCTAGAGGATTATAGAAAATGCTTGACTGAGTTCTACTTTTTTCCCATTACACAAATTCAGTTAAATATGTCTGAACAAGCAAGAGTTATAAAAATAGTAATTGTACCCTACCCACTAATTATTTCCTTCTTCAGAATGAAGGAGTTATAACAGAAGCAAGCAACATAATTAGCAAACTTCATTACTGTTTATTTTCATTTATACATTTTCTTATTTATACCCTATCTCCTCCCACAAAGGAGCTGAAGTGACTGTTATTCACTTTATGTGGCTTTATTCATAATTCATTATTCAGGAGACCCCAGTTTCCTTGGAAATGAAATTTATGTTAATTTGAGTATTTTTGCTTCCAAAATTTGACGTATATGGTAAATCAAAATCTCTTATGAAAGAACAATTCAGAAGAATATCCAAGTCCTCCAAATCTTTCACAAATTCCTTTGGAACACAACTGTATCCCAAGATGAGTTACACTCCCATGTCTGTTGGGGGTGGGGATCGGGGCTTGGAAAAAACAACCTCAACAATAAATGACTAGCAAATCCTATCAAGGATGATGGGAAACAGAAAATCAGTGTTCGTGCTGGGAATTTCAGTGTTGGGAATTTTAGCAATTCCCAAACTGGCTCGCAATCCTCCTTTGTGTCCTCTGCCTTTTCCAGGCTTTACTTCGCTCCGTTAGAATAGACATGTACCTTCCACCTCGCGCTCATGCGCTCGCTCGCTCTCTCTCTCTCTCTCTTTCTCTGACACGTTGCTTATGGATTCCTGAGCTGATCCAAGTGTAAGAAGTCTGGCTGCTTTGAGATCACCCTGTTGGTGGTTCATTTTCAAGATCCTGGAAATTAATTCTGAACTGGAGCATGATTCTCCCTAATTTGGTCTTAGTTCTGGTCTTGTGTCTCCACTCCGTCACCCCAGCCCAAACTCCTATGAATGTTTAAGAAAAAGCACTTCCTTATTAACAGAACAAAAACATTTGACTTGTTTTTAAGTGATTAACCAACAGTACAGAGCTGGTCACTCACAGGCATACATACCACTGGAAACAAACTTTGGCAGATAACACCACCAGACTGGTGACAATCTTTTCTGATAGCAATCACTTAGAAGCTGGTTTGGTTTTGTTTTTAATATGAAAGTAGAGCACCATTTTGAGACTTCAGATCAAATGATGATTCACTGGGTATACACACATTAAGTTTTGTGTATACTTGCATTTGTATATGTGCAGGAATGGGGTCAAAGACTGTACCTCAGAGGGGGGCAACATCTAAGAGTGGGGCTGGGAGGTGTGAAGGGGAGCTTTCATTTTCTGCTTCCTATACTTGTATCCTGCAAGACTGAGATTGTTCTGAGGAGCAGGTATTAGTTTTAATTAACAGCTTAAGGAATAAAAATATTATTTCTAACAAGCATTCACATATTTAAGACAACAGCATTGTGAAACAATAGTGTCACCACTGACTTGAAATCTTTTTTATTTTTTACAGTGGTGTTTTCAATTTAATGATATATGGTATATTTTAGGTTTCGTCATAATGAATGAATGAAAATTAAAAAGAAAAAATTATTCAAGTAATTCTTATACATAAACCCTCTGTTAACTTTGTATATCTTGGCTCCGGATTCTACAATTTAGTCCTACCTCTGCAACTAGGATTATAACCTTTTAATATTGTTACTTAAGATCTTGTGTACAAATCATTTATTCAACAGGCTTATTGAACATCTTCTCCCCATGAATCTCCTTCAATTACACAAGCTAACCTTTATTTTTTTTTTTAAGATTTTATTTATTTGAGAGAGAGGGAGAGCAGAGGGGGAAGCAGACTCCTCACTGAGCAGGGAGCCTGATGCAGGGCTTGATCCCAGGACCCTAAGATCATGACCTGAGCCAAAGGCAGACACTCAACTGACTGAGCCACCCAGATGCCCCAAGCTAACTTTTATTGCATGTTTTGCATGCCCGAAGCATGGTCTTTAGTGCGTTATATATCTTCTTTCATCTTCATATCACCTCTATACAGTAGAAATATCATTAACCCCATTCTCCAGATGAAGACACTGAGGCACAGATGAGTAACTTCAAGACTGTACAGCTAGGGGGCGCCTGGGTGGCTCAGTCGTTAAGCGTCTGCCTTCGGCTCAGGTCATGATCCTAGGGTCCTGGGATCGGGCCCCACATCGGGCTCCCTGCTCTGCGGGAAGCCTGCTTCTCCCTCTCCCACTCCCCCTGCTTGTGTTCCCTCTCTCGCTGTGTCTCTCTCTGTCAAATAAATAAATAAAATCTTTAAAAAAAAAAAAAAAAAAAGACTGTACAGCTAGGAACTAAGGTAGCAGTCATTTGAATCCCAGAGGACTGAATCAGGCTCTGGCTCAACAGCCCATCTTTTTAAACGACTACTTCACAGTGCCTTCCAGATCACAAGGTCAGTGTAATCTAGGAGGAGGAGTTTTACAAGTAAATATTTTTTTTGAAATTGGAACAACTTGAGTTTCCAACCAGAGGCTATAAGTACAATAGGGTCCACCCATATAATGTAAGATTTGAGGGACATTTAAAAAGATGATGTAGAGGTTGATCCATTGACATAAAAGCAAACTCTCTTCATATTATTAAGTGGAAAATATTACAACAGTACTTACAGTATGATTAAACTTTATGAAAAAGTATCAATGTGAAAAGTAGACTACTGGGGGCGCCTGGCTGGCTCAGTCAGTGAAGCGTGTGACTCTTGATCTTGGGGTCGTGAGTTTGAGCCCCACATAGGGTGTAGAGATTACTTAAAAAAAATAAAAGAAACACACTTTCAAAAAAGTAGGCTAGTAAGCATTTCAGGTCAGAACATTGGGGAGCACATCACTGATCACTGCACTGCCCCCCACTGAGCTGGATAAGGCTTCTCCCGGTCTGCTCAACAGAGACCCAGGCAGCCACCCCTAGTCTACCCCAGGTGGCCCTTGAGATGAATCCTCTTTGTCTTTTGAATATTTGTTCTTTGATTCCACTGCCAGAATCCACTCACCACGTGTTTTTCCTTGATTTCTCTCATTATCTCTTATTCTCTTGTCTAAGTTCTGTGTCTATCCTTTTTATACACTCTTCTCCTCTCTCCATTCGTACACTGGACCCTGGGTTTCTACTACAATTATCCCTTTCTTCCACATCATCACCTTTTGCTTTTCTGTTAGTTCATTTCCATAAGCAAATATGTTCCATTATCTACAATCATGTTTTTTAAAGGTTTTCTTTGGATCCCATATTCCTCTCCAGCTACTGCCCTTTACAGCGCATCTCCCGAAGAAAGCCGTAGAGAGTGTCAGTTTGTACCCCCTCCCCCTCCTAGGTCCCCTACAGCCCCTCCCAGCAGGCTTTGCCCTCCACCTCTGCACTGTAACCGGGCACATCCGGTTTCCTTGATTTCCTTCTTGCCGAATTCAGTCATCAGTTCTCAGGCCTTGTGTTACTTAAACTCCCTGCAGCCTTTGAGGCTGTGGAGACTCCTGTCTTCCTTAGTTCCTTTCTTCCCCTGGCTTCTAGGATACCAGAGTCTCCTGGTTCTCCTCCCGTGTCTCTCACTGTGTCATCTCAGTGTCTTCTGCTGATGGCCACTCTGGCTCACCACTTCCCTTCCCTGTCTCCATTCCTTCCCCATGGGTTGCCATCTGGCCCCGTGGTATTAACATCATCTGTCGGCCAACGAGGTCCCAATTTTTAACTCTGGGTTCATCTTTCCCCTGAATTCTAGACTTGTATATACTATTGTTTACTTGAGTGTCTAAGAGGCATCTTATGCTTCACATGTGCAAAACAGAGCACGTGATTTCCACGCTGTGGCTGGGACTGCTTGCTGCCCTCTGGGAGCCGTCCTCCCCTTCTTCTACTGTAATGTTAGTGACTTCTACTGGGCCTATGGCCACTCAGGATAAAGTGGACATGGCTTACATTTCTCAGTCTCTTCTGTAGTGTGTTCTACCCAATAAAATGTAATCAGAAGTACTGTGTGGCTGCTTCTGGAAAACATTCACTTATTGTACCATGTTTACAAACTATACCTTAAGGCAGTTTACCTTAAGACACACATTCTTGGCCCCCGTGTTTGCCTTTCCTCCCTTCTGTTGCCTAGAATACAAATATGATGGCTGGAGCTCTAGTGTCCATCTTGGGTGAGGCAGATGAGGACAACATCCCAGAGCTAGCTGAGTGGTAAGCTGAAAAGATGTCTGAGGGTCCTTGAGCAGTCACAGCAGTCCTGGACTATCTGCCTCCAGGCTTCCTTCCATGATGGAGAAGTGAAGATCTCCCTTGTTCAAGCCACTGTCACTGTGCCTCACAGCTGAATCTATTCCTATCCAATACATTCAATACCTGTGTAGTCCATATTTTATCTTTTGTCTATGAGAGAACAATCCTCCTTTTACATACTAGGCTCTTTGGAATATTTGGGAAGTCAAGGAAAACTTTTCTTATATATTCATCACTAAACGTATAAAGTTAGTAGAAAAGATGATTTGCTTTTACACAAATTTGTTCACCAAATACATTTTCTAGAATATATTTGTTTCTAATGAAGATTTATACTTCTATTTTCTCAGGTTTTTAATGAGTTCTAATAAAAACCCATTTATGCTGCTGAGATTATACTCCTCTCCAAATGGATGATTATCATCATCCATTATTTTGTGCTGGTTTGAAAACTTTCATATGACAGGCATGAAATAAAATACATCCTTCCTGATGCATAAGTCATGTCCAAATATGAGTTGTCTCAGGCTAGAATCCTTTAAGAAGGCTAGGTTAAGTCAGTTTGTGGTAAAAGCTCAGTAAGTATTTGTTATATGAGTAAGTAAATAAATAAATGGTATATTCTCCTGTAAATCTTCAGCTATACAAAGTTATTGTGGTAATTTTATTTTTGTTAAAGATTTTATTTATTTATTTGACAGAGAGAGTGAGAGAGCATAAGCAGGGGGAATAGCAGAGGGAGAGGGAGAAGCAGGCTTCCCGCTGAGCAGGGAGCCCCACGTGGGGCTCCATCCCAGGACCCTGGGATCATGACCTGAGCCGAAGGCAGACGCTTAATGACTGAGCCACCCAGGCGCCCCTATTGTGGTAATTTTAAAACAAACTCACAAATTCTTTGCCATCCTCTGCCCCTGAATATGGATGAGACTTGGTGACTGGCTTCTATCAGAATGCAGCAGAGGGGACACTGGGTGTCTACCAAGACTAGGTTAGAATAGACAAGCACCTTCCACCTGGCACTCTCTCTCTCCCTGACACTTTGCTTTTAGATTCCTGGGCTGATCTAAGTATAGGAAGTCTGGCTGTTCTGAAGCCACCATGCTGGAGAGCCTGAGGAGCCCCGGCCATTCCAGACTGTAGCTGATTGCGTTTTCCCAGGCTCACCTGCCAGACCTGGGAGCGATTGAGCCTTCCAGTTCTTCCTATCCTCCGCTTTTGAGCTTTGTTCTCCATGGAGTGTGGCAGAGCTGAGCTCTCTCTGCCCAAAACGCAGACTTATAGCAGGATAAATATTGTTTCAAGCCTCTATGTTCAAGGGTAGTTTGAATAGCAACCATGGTAATGGACCCATTCCCTGACATAGAACGCTGAGTCTGTTTGTTGCCATGACAGTATTATTGCTTGATCATCATGGAGAGGACTAGGACCCTTCCGTGCATTCCCTTTCTGAATAATTCTGTCTGTGGCAAAGGGCATTCTTGCAGTCACCAGCAACCTCTGTGGCCACTGGTTAGAAAGGGTTTTCACTTCTTTCATCTTTTCCCAACCTAGAGAAATGTTGCCTTTCAAAATGGAAACAAAATCAGCTCTTTCAAAGCAAACTTCCTTAAGATGTAGTTTGTAAATATGGTGCAGTAAAGGGATGGTTTTTTCCTTGTCTTTGCCCTAGAAAGAGCCTGGAATGTGCTTTAGTGTAATCCAGGTGACCAGGGAATGTGCTCAGGACAGGAACAAAGTTAAGTGTACAGAAAACCATAGCCTCATTAACCTGTCTGAGGCAATGATATGCTAAGTGAAAAGCAGCAGGTGATGAACAGTTTGTAAAAAGGGGAACTATATTATCACTTCTTCAGTGTTTCCTTGGGAAGAAGGTAATATCCATATAGATTCTCTAAACCAAAATATGCCTAGACTGGAGAAAGCAATCTAATGTAATTCCGTTTTAGCATGCTTCCTCAGTTGGAAAATTCTTGCACAAATGGATGATATATTTGACAAATACAGCACCCAGTATAAATCAATACAGGGTATTCTGTTTTATAAATTGATCTATGAATTTGGTTAGCATTTATTTGTGCCTCTAAACCTGATCATTTCAGAGAAAGCTTTTAGGATCAATTTCCTAGACCACTGAAGACTGTTGGCGTCTCCACCAAGGTAATGATGCCTCATAGGATTCTAGAGGAAGTTGCTAGCTAATTTCCTTTCTTTCTTTGATCCAAGTTTCACTGTTGCAGGAAAGAGTGTCTAATTAGAAGAAGCTTCCAAACATTACTCCTCATCTGGATGATTGCCAGGCCCAAAGAGCACTTTCTAGACCCAATATCTGGGAGGCCACTTTCTTCCACAGCGGGACCTATCTTCTCACTTGAGCTTTGTGATTGTAACTTCTGAAACCTCAGATTTTTAATTCTCTTTAAATGTAAGCATATCACTCTGGTGAGTTTGGGTTTATATGCCCAGTTTGAGTGGCTTTATCTAAAAGTCATTTGGACAGCTAAATATGACAGCCATCTACTCTCTAAGAAGCTTTCGTTTCAGAAGAGGGAGATATAATTAATTAAATTGCATTTTGATCCTGGTGAGTAGACATTCTTTGATCATTTTATTATGGTGTCAGAGAAACTGAGCACATCTTAGAATGCAATAGTAAAATGATGAAGAATTTTACTTTAGAGAGGGATCATTACCTCTCAGCATCTTCCATTAAATCTTCTCCTCCCTTCCCCCTCTCCGCCTATAATCTGTTCTTCTTTGCCCTTTTCACTTCCCACTAGATAGACCAATAAAAGGACATTATCAATATATTCAAGTTGCCTAAGATTCATCAAGCTATTCATAAGATTTTTTTATGAAAAATAAAACCATTTAAAGTAATTTAGCAAGCACACACTATTTAAATTTTTTGTTACTAAGGTGACAACAATACACACAATTTTAGTTTTTAAAATTTAGGCCAAAGTGTTCATTGGGATTTAGCAATAACTGTTTTTTACTATCTCCAAAAAAAATTTATGTTAGGAGGATACGTATTTTTTTCCTTCACTTTCTGTTTTGTTCTTTATTTTTGTAAAAGGAGGAAATCAACTGGCATATATTTTTATGAATACAAAAAGGAAAACCTTTTGAGAGGAAATGGCTACTTTCTGAATCTCTTAATACAGATTGAAATTTATGTGCATTGAATACATTAGTGCTGAAAAATACTCAGAGTATAATATCCAAGTACCACTCGTGGGTGGCCACTTATGAAGTGAGACACTTTAGTGATGTTCTTACATCCTATCGTTAGCCTCCCTATAAACTGAGTCACTTGGATTTAAAGAATAAATACCTTTCGGGCGCCTGGGTGGCTCAGTTGGTTAAGCAACTGCCTTCGGCTCAGGTCATGATCCTGGAGTCCCAGGATCGAGTCCCGCATCGGGCTCCCTGCTCAGCAGGGAGTCTGCTTCTCCCTCTGACCCTCTTCCCTCTCGTGCTATCTCTCATTCTCTCTTTCTCAAATAAATAAATAAAATCTTTAAAAAAAAAAAAGAATAAATACCTTTCTAGGGGAAAATGAGAATCTAAAAAGATTTTTTTTTTAACCCTGAGAGTTTCAAAAGATAAGCCATTTCCCTAATTATGAAACATCCCAATAAAGAAAAGTTTCAGTATTTTGACTCCTTGGCGAATATTTAAAGGCATTCTGAAAGCGCCCATCTTTAGGGTTAACAACGTAGTGTGATAGGCCCTGGGTCACAGGTGATTCCCTTAAAAGACACCTGGACAGTCTTCTTCCCTTTAATGTTTTTGTTTCTCATTTTCCACCTGATCAAATTTCTTGTTTTTCCAGTAGCTCTTGTGTTATTGCCTGCCTCTCCATTCTCCTTTGAACTATTCTTTAGACTGAATTCTGCACAAATTATTTTCACTGACTGTCAGGGAGATGCTTCATGAATTGTCTTTAAAGCCTGTGCATACACCTCCCCGTGAGACTTCCCCTAGACCAGCACTGGCCTGGTCTGGGGGAGATGATGCTCCTCCACAGCAGCCCCAGGAAAGCGCTGCATGGGGCTCTCACCCAGCACCACGCTCAAGGTCTCTGCCCTACCCAGCCCCTCTTGATCAGGGGAGCCCCCCAGCTCCAAGCTGCCCTTGCCCCAGGGCCAAGGCTGAGAGCTCTTAGTCCCTAAGTTCAGGGCCATTGACAGATTGGCAGCCAGCTACTGAGACCATTGCCCTAAAGATACAGATTTTTTTTTTAAGATTTTATTTGAGAGAGAGAGAGAATGAGAGATAGAAAGCACAAGAGGGAAGAGGGTCAGAGGGAGAAGCAGACTCCCTGCTGAGCAGGGAGCCCGATGTGGGACTCGATCCCGGGACTCCAGGATCATGACCTGAGCCGAAGGCAGTTGCTTAACCAACTGAGCCACCCAGGCGCCCATAAAGATACAGATCTTTAGGACCTCAGAATGTTGCATGCCTTGCTTTAATGGAAAAGTATCTAGTAAAGTAGATGGTAAAGCAAAACTCCATAAATAAATCTCTACCCTCCTTTCCAATAATTTCCTTTATAAAATCAAAGAAACAGTATCAGCAAGAAAAAAAAAAACCCTCAGTTTTATGCGTTTATACCTCACTTGGTTCCCACATGATTTAAAGTGATTGGTCAGAAAATGTAAAACTTTAACTAGAGAGCATACACTGAAAAGTGAAAAAGGACAGAAAACAAGGGTGGGGACATAAAATGGGGCCAGGAACAAGGCTTAAAAAAAAAAGTATAAAATACTGACCTCTGCTCTGTGTGGGTCACAGTTTGGCTCTAAACTATCTAGCAGGCCCACTATCAGCTAATGGCATCATCCCAAACACTCAGTTTGCTTGTGAGCATTTTTTGGGGCTGGGGAAGTGGAGAGGTCAGGGTGAGGGGTGAAAATGCAGGGGCGTCTGGCCAACTCGCCTTTCATTTGGCTTCACGTAGGAGTAGATTTTAACATATCTGGAATAGAAAACGCCCTAGACTGTGTGTCATTAAAACAATCCTCCTCAAATATTGTTCTTCTGAGACAAAGCGCTCATAAATATCGGAAGGCATTGAATTCAGAATCGAGGCAGGCTTGCTTGCCGAGAACAAAACCTTAAAGATGTATAAAGCTCCTCTGTGTCTCTCCTCTCCCTCAGAGTCAGACAGCTCAAAAGATTGATCTATTCTTGCTGTCTGCATTGCTTCACTTCCCCCTCAGTCCTAAAGCCATTTTAATCTGGCTTCCACCCCCACCACGTCACTGAGGCTGATCCTGCTAAGGTCCCCGAAGCATTTTTCAGCTCAGATTTTATTTAGGTCTCAGCAGCATCTGGAAGTTGACTTCTCTCTCCTTCTTAAAATATTCCGTGGCCTGGGTTTTCTTTAACACCACACTTTGTGGATATCTCCCTGTTCTCTGGTCATTCCTCCGACTTGTCCTCTGCCTTCTTCTCCTTTTCCACCTGATTCTTCAATGTTGGTGTTCCTTGGAATTCTGTTCTAGTGCTGAGAAGAACTCCAGATCCAAGAGAGCCCACAACAGTGTTGCTATCATACAGATTAGAAACAAAAACAAAACAAAACAAAACTTCTCATCTCTGTATCCCTTAGAGTAGAAGTTCATCCAGTTCTTGTTAACTGAATAATAGCAGTGGTGGACATGGTTGCCTTGCTCAATCACGGTTCCACACTCCTTCTGGTGCCTTTCCTTGACTGCAGACGAGAGCTAGGAATCATTTTTCTCTGACTCCCTTGCAGCTAGAGCCTCAAAGGTGATGGAGGTTTCATCCATCAGAGGTCCTCATGTGAAATTTGAACTTGAAACTGATCTAGGTGGAAAGAGAAGCGGCAGAGGTGCCCGAGTCATCCATTTAGCTGGTGTGAGGATCTAGCAGATATCACATGGCTCTGGAGCCAGCCATCCTGGTGGGACTTCCTGATGCCTGGAGTGCAGTTAGGGCAGCATGTTCATTAATGCAGTGATTTTGGTGACAGCCTCCTGATTCGCAGCAGTTCCCCCCATGGGCTTGTCACACAAAAAATTGTCCAAGACTTAGCAGTGGAGATTGGGGGGTGTCTTTCAGGGAAGTTCTGGGTATTGTCAAGGGGTAGCTTTCAGGAATTTTCTGATTCTATACAGATATGTACCTTTGATTTTCTACTAACTAGGCTATTTTACAACTCTGAGGTAGAAATTTACTTGTAGTAAACTAAAGAAATGCAAATACTTCTTGTTCATAGCAAAGCAAACTACTTTTTTTCTGGTAGATAGAGAATTGACTTTTGCCCTAAAGAAAATGTAATCCCAAACATTTTCTTTTCATTGCTGTAAAACTACATTAATATGGGGGCCCCTAGTCATATGTGATTATTGAGCACTCACAGTGTGGCAGTGGCAAGTTTGAATTGAGATATGTTGTAAGTGTAAAATACATGCCAGAATTCAAAGTCTCAATATAAAAAATGTAAAATAGCTCGCTTTATTCATTAATCATTTGTATGGATCATATATTGAAATAACATCTTGGATATATTGAACTAAAAAACTATTGTCAAAATGAATTTCACCTTTTTTACTCTTATATGGCTCCTAGAAGATGCTCATATTACAGCTGTTGGACAGTCCTGCCCTATAGAATTTCAACCAAGTTCACCTCTATTAGCCAGATTTCAGCATCCCTGCTTGTATGTATGTATATATACACCTAGGTCTACATGTGTATGAGTCTCTAAATTTTCTTTTGAACCAGATAGAACCTGGAAGATGTTCTGTCATTAATGAATGCATTGAATAGAAATCTTTGACACAAGTTGTTTTACATTTGCGGAGAATCTCAGTTTTAACATTTTACTCTTTAACAACCAATTCTACAGAGTTGCTTCAACAGGCCCGATCTAAATATGTTCTTCCAGCCCGCCTAGTGATTTTGTAAGGACCTAATTCCCTTCTAAAAGAGCTAAGGTGATTTTCTGACCTGCTACAGCACCCTGATACAATAGCTAAAAATGGAGTGTATACTAGTTTCTGCATTTTACCCCATTTCATCTTCAGTAACAACTCGGAGGCAGGCAAGATACTCTCCCTTTTACAAATGGAGGCACTGAGAGTTGAAGAAACTTGCCCCTCATGACCAGTGGGGAAGTGGTAGCTGATTTGCACTCAAGCAGAATTGATCCCAAAGTCCACCTCCATACCACTGTGCCACTCTCTTTCCTCTCCATAAAACAGAAAGGAGAGGGTATCTGTCACTTGGCTGACCCGACGATGGTGGTCTGACAGCGAAGCCCAAGGTTTCAGTCATGCCCTCACTTCTTCTGCCTCTCCTGCTCCCAGGCCCTTTGATCCAGTTGTCTGGTTTTCAGAATCCTGGGCAGCAATTCCAGACTCTGGAATGACATGCCCTTTCCCCCTGCAGCAGAGCAGTAACTCCAACAGGTTTTACTAGTGGAATTGCACTAGAAGTATGTGACTTTGACCATCACAGAGCTTGCTTAA